CCATGAAACAGTTGTGTTGCATAAGTCTTCTGTTATTCTGAAAAACCTAATTAACTGGATGCCTATGACTCTTCATCCTTTGACACGCTCTTTCTATCACTTTGATGTCACTTTTAGACAGCCTTTAACAAGAAAAAAACCAACAACCCTACCCCACAAAGATGGAACATATTAATAAATTAAAAAGCTTCAGACACATAAAAGTATCTTTGATCAAAGTTGTTAGCATTTAGTGTGTGAAGAGTTAAACCTCCGAAAAGCTCGCATTAAGTAAGTAACAAGAAAATTATTCAGAAGTTCAATAAAAAAATCCCAACACATTTAAGTAGTCATACCTGGAGTGTCATAAATCTGGTTTTATTTCTATCTCCTTTTAGTTGTATGTATTTAAAAAAAGAGAGGAAGTATCTTTAGGAAGGTTCAGAAGCATTCTTAATTTCAGTTTTATACTGAATTATGAAAGATGCACAGCTTCTTTGTGACCAGATTTACAATGGCAAATTAAGTACAAAGATCAATTTTTATATTCCCATCCTCAATAAGAACATGAAACTTGCTCACACTCTAAACAGAATTATAGCAAAAACGTGTTTTAATTCATCCCTGTCTCCCACTCCCATACATTCATCATTGTCTCCTGGATTTTTTTTCCTTGGGGCCACACCTATGGACTCACAAGGATGTTAGCGCTGGGAACATCAAACAGCCTTAGTGATGATCTGTATGGAGCTGAAGATCATGAAAAGGGAGACCAAATAAACAGCTCTTACCAACAGCAGCATGGCAATCGCCTTTTGAACATTTTACCCTCAAGAAAATAGAGGTGCTACAGTATGGCCTCTCAAAGTCCACACCCTCCTCACCACCAAAGGAAACAATCCACTGGTTGCAGAGTTTGGCACTGCTCATCCGAAACACTTCGGCTGGAATTTCATAGGAAACTCAATTCACAGGAAGAAAGTCTCAAAAAAGGGAGCTAGTACTAAAAGACTAACAGCATATGTTACGCTGATTGGAGAGATCAATTATTTTCCAGATTCCTCACAAGTCTGAAATATTGGTCCACTTAAGTCACAAGAAATTTCTTGCAGACAAAGCTATCCTAGTGCTATTTGGAAAAAGGTTCAGGAGACCTCGGTTTTAGCTTCGACACTGCTAAAGCAACTATTGGAGATATTCACAGAAGGGTCATTTGGGGTGGAAGGGGAAGCTGCAGAACAAAGCAAGCAGTGTAATTTCAGTAGCAGCTAACAATTAGTGAATGAAAAAACTGCAGAAGATGGCGTACTCAGAGAAGAAAGGGCACTGTTGGGCTCGTGGGGAACAGAAGTCATGGTCACAGGTTAGGGTAGAGTTCAGCTATGAGTATTGGGAGTCACTGGAAAGTCCTTTCGGTATCAGCGCCCTAAATGTTGCCTTCCCAACGCTCACCATGGATGAAGTATACAACGTCTTCAGAACGAGGCGTTATGGCAACAAGCAATTTCAAACCCAAAAGAGAATGAAGTTCTATTTTGTTTCAAATTCTTTGAAAAGCTCATTAAAAAAAAAAACCTCTATGGAGAAATACAACTCAAAACGAAAATGCATTTTGTCACAGTGAGGTTTACTGGTCCAATATCAAATAAAGAAGTTGACATGCTTCCTTCAGACATGAAGTACATACCTGTGCGGTGATCTTCTATTCCATGGTCACCATTTTCTACAACTGTTGGCCCAGAAGCTGAAGTATCTGCAAGAAATCAAAGGAAATGTTAGCATTGGCTGAAGTTAATCTTAATCCAAAACTTAAAAACAACTAAGATTAACACTGTAACGTTATCAAACACAGATAAGGGGATTTTCCCCCCCAGAATTATTTTTTAAATAAGTTAAGGTACCCCATGGCACTGAGGGAGTGCAACTTAAAACCCAAAAGGAAGAGCTTTTCAAGCACAGAAAATATAGCCTCATGAAGGAGAGTCAAGGCATAACAACTAGAAGCTTCTTTATCTATTCACACCATGACTTCAAACCAAGCCTTCCTAAGGGCCAACACTAGATCACTGTGACTCTGGATTTCCTTCAAGCAAACAATGCTTAGCCAAGCTGGTGAACTTCAACGGGCTTCATGGATGTCAGGCAAGAGCAGCTGATGCTGTTGACCTTAACACCATCTCCCAGAACATGCTCAAGGACAAGCTGACACAGCACGGGTCAGATAACTACACAGTGAGGTGGATGGAAGACTGGCTGAACAGCTAGGCTCTGAGGGTGGTGATCGCTAGCACAAAGCCCACCAGCAGTCCCCCAGCAATTGACACTGCGGCCAATACTGTGTAACATCTTCATTAATGACCTGAACGATGGAGAAGAGCACACCCTCTGCAAGTTTGCAGATGACACAAAACCGGAAGAAGTGCCTAATACGCCAGAGGCTTGGGATGCCATCCAGAGGGACCTGGATAGGCTGGAGAGATGAGCAGAGAAGAATCTCATGAAGTTCAATAAGGAGAAATGCAAAGTCCTGCACCAAGGGAGGAATGAGCCCAGGCACCAGTATATACTGGGGGTCAACTTGCCGGAAGGCAGCTCTGCAGGAAAAGCCTTTGGGCTCCTGGTGGCCAACAAGCTGAACATGAACCAGCAACGTGCCCTTGCAGCAAAGAAGGTCAACAGCCCTCTGGGCTGCATTGGGCAGAGCCTTCTCGTCAGGTTGGGGGGTGATCCTTTCCCTCACTTCAGCACTGTTGGGACACTTCTGGAGTGCTGGGCTCCCCGGTACAAGAGAGATGGAGCCACCTGAGAGAGGTCAGTGAAGGGCTTCTAAGATGACTAAGGGACTGGAGCATCTCTCATAGGAATAAAGGCTTAGAGAGCTGGGTCTGTTCACCCTGGAGAAGAGAAGACTTGAGGAATGTGTACAAGCACCCGAAGGGGAGCTGTAAAGAAGCCTAAGGCACACTCTTCTCAGAGGCCAGCGACAGGACAAGAGCCACAAGGCACAAACTAATTCCCTAGAATTTTTAAATATTGGTCCACCTCAGATTGTGACAAGTTTCTTGCAGACAAAGCTATCCTAATAGTATTAGAAAAAAAGGGTCAGAAGACTTCAGTTTGAGCTTTGACAGCACATTGCTAAAGCAGGTATCAGAGAGAGATTTAGAGAAAGGAAGTTCAGGGGGAAGATGACCGATTCCAAAAAACCAGCATATAAGATACTTGCCACCAAGAGATTTAGTCTATCTTGTTCTGACACTGTCAGATAAAGTTTTAACAGGCACCAAGATTGCCACACTGAACTTGGAGTCATGGCAGCAATACAAGACCTAGCAATAGCTGCGGCAACTGGGAATCAAAGAACTGAGCTCTAAACTTGCCTTTGCCGTCTGCTCAGCGGGCCGCCGTAGGAGAGCCACTCTGTAACAGGCAACTATCTCCAAGCGTGTAATATTCTTGAAAATGCTGCTTGGAAACAATCTTTGGGAAGAAATAAGGAATTTAACTAACAATTTTCTTTAAAAGCGCATTCCTTGTTCTAGTACTCAAATAGTTCTTCCTAATCCTCAAAATATGCTAGTGAAATTCTCTACTCACCCCATAATCTCTACGCTGGGCTGCTGAGGGTCGGTAACTATAACTGCTTAGGCAAACTGCTTGAGGAATTTTATTTCTCTTAAGTTACAGCCTTTGAGATCAGACGATGGTCCTTACAAAAGCAGCTGCATTGTGCTGGTATTAACACTGGTGCAGACTGCCAGCAGCACAATATTGCTGTCACCATGACAGGTGAATATTACAAGGCTGTTTACCTAAATTGAAGGGATCATCCTTGCACCAAGTCTTAAAATATTTTCTAATATCTTCTTAAATAAACTCTGCTTAATTTCGAAGAATTTATCCCATTTTCCAGTTGTGAAATAGAGAAGAGAAGTCATTGCAAGAACCATACTGAATAGTATTAATTAAGCGTAACAAGCAGCACAAGCTCTAACAGCAGCTCAGCTCCTCAGGCCATTTGTTCTGCTTATTGTGAAGAAACACTCAGGGCAATGGATTAAAAACAATCCTGTAAGTAAATAAATAAAATCACTCCCAAAGAGACCCATATCAGTTACCTGGAGTTGCTGCTGTCCCTCCCCTGAGCTCAAGCAGTTGTAACACAAAGCTACATACCAGTGTACTTCAGACACGGCACTTCAGGCCTTAATCCAACCCTCAGTAAAGCAAAGGGAAAAGTCTTCCCAGTTACTTCAGTGGCTCATCCTGGTGTTTTACGAAAATTCAACATGAACTTGCCAGACAGCTTATAGAAAAACATACACCTACATCCTCTTCAAGTAGCCGAAAATACTACAAGGAATCCCTGGACCTGTTTCCTAGCAGTTAAACACACCAGCTCCTCCTGCTGTCGGTCTTTACAAGGTCTGGTATTTACTGTAACACTAGAAATGTCTTAACTAGTAACTGGGAGAACTACTGCCAGTCGCTGAACTGACTGAGCAGTTCAGGCAAGGAGAAGTCAGGGTCACGGGATGGTTTATACAACACTGCTCCACAGCTGCCAGAAGGCACGCTGGGTGTCTCGCGGGGTACCAGGGTCTTACAACGAGATCTCCCAGGAATTATGCGGAGGAGCTATGCAGGTCCTCCTGCACCTTCCAGTTAACAGCCAGGAAGCTTAGCCCAAGTGCAAGAGTTACAAGTTGTCTTAAGTCCTGCTCAAAAGGGTGCCGTAACACGGGTTTAATGAAGGTAGCTGATGATGCCACTGTAACAGAGGCTGCGCAAGTCTTCTCTAGCCTTCACTCACGCTAAACATGGCAAAAAATCTTTTGGTGGTGAGGAAAATAAACAGCACCCCCACACACACTACCATGAGCCACAAACTCACTCCTATTTCTTCAGTATTTAACCTGTAATTGAAAACTTGCGTACAAGTTCTGTTTTAAAGTGGACAAAATGATCACATGTTGCTTTCCGTTTCATCCAAACCTGGTCATTACACCTTGCACAGGCAATACAGCTGGTGAAACGTTTCATAGTCTGGTCCTGATGCCACCACCATCACCCATACATTAAGAACAGGACTCGATCACAAATAGGGCTAAACACTAAATAAAAGTTCCTTTGTAAGGCTGCTCTGGTAGCATTTGGCACGAGCAGCTTGCGTGCACCTGAGGTCAGCTCTGCACTGCATACAGCCCGCTCCGTGGTGCCGCTGGCAATCCAGTGCTTTTCAGCTATTCGGAAAATAAACACTTCGTCTGTGGAAATGTTTCACCTAGAGACTGATCCCCTCGGTAGCAAGTGATCCAAGCCAACGGTCTTCTATCAGAAAGAGAAGCCAGGACACCACACCCTCCCCTACCAAAGGCTTTGCAAGCTTCAAATCAAACAAAAAACCCCACCAAAACATTAGTCAAGCCTACCAAAGGCTATGGCGGATGAAAACAAGGGCAGCTCAAAGCCAGCTGCGTTTCTGGCTTAACCTTCCATACAGCTGAGAGGGCTCGCAATCTGTGCGGCTTCCAGGCTACAAAGCACAAATACATTCCTCCAGAGAAGCCTCATCTTAGTCAGTCCCCGATATTCACTCATTTGAAAAAAAAAAAAAAAAAAAAATTAAAAAAATGGTAAGACATGTTGAAGCACATGTAGGATTTTCAACAGGAATTGGGGCAAAAGAACAGGTTAAAGCAACTGCGCCAT